TGGGTAGGGCTTATAATTCCTTGGGAATGGACCTGCTCCAAAAACTTTAACCTGCTCCAAAAACTTTAACCTGGTCACTCATCTGGAAAATGTAGGTCAGATCCAGCATCCGAAGCAAGTCTTGTAGTGTACATCCCTAGATGCATCATCCATGCAAGTTTGGTTTAGGTAGGGCTTATAGTTACTTGGGAATGGACTTGCTCCTAAAACTTTAACCTGGGACGCCGACGCTAACGCCGACGCCGACGCCAACGCCGGGGGTATAGCATAAGCTCATCTCGACTTCGTCGAGGTGAGCTAAAAAGTTTCTTTTAAAATGCAGGTAAAAGATTTCCAATGTAAATCAGCTTGCACAAAATCTAGCTCTCTGGGTATGATCTATTAGTTTCGGATCAAGCAATTATCAATCCTTACACAGCCTGACGCCGTGATGTCAGGCAATCAAGCTAATTATATGTTTATTTATCATAATTTTTTAAAAATATAAATGCATGTTTGTGTTCAGATGAGTTATCTTATTTTGTAGTTTATTCATTTCAGTTTGAACAATTCAATAATAAATCACGGCAACTGAAAACTGGGCTTTTCTTCAGAAGATGACCCTGATGAATATCCTATAACAATTACGCTTTTACCCTGCAAATATGATTACTTACTCTATATAAATCAGAAATAAAAACCATTTTCCATGTTTGATACAAAATCAAGAGGATTTCATCATTTTCTGACAAAAAAATATTAAGCGTCCTTTTTAAATCCAAGAAAATCATGAAATGCAACAAAAAAATAGAATATTGTTTCGAGATTAACACATATATCAACTTACAAGAGAAATTTGATTAGGCTTATAGAAATATAAATGGAAATTTTAACAAGAATGTAGGGAATATCCCTCATGTATACTCCAAAAAAAAACACAGGGACCAGTGGTATTGAAGTCCTGGCATGATAAGCGTGTACAGCAAAACTTGGTTATAACGAAGTCACTGGGACCCATGAAATTACTTCGCTATATCCGTAATTCGTTATAACCATATAAGAAATAGCTGGGGATCCAAGATGACTTCGCTATATCCGTGTTCGTACTAACCGAGTTTTGCTGATTGGTACCAATCACTCAATTACCAGTATACTTTTCATAGATGTATTTTCACTTAATGAAGCCATGGTTTATTTCTTTATTTTTTTCTTCGTAGGCTACAAAAGGAATTGCATTTTTTTAGAAATTCACAGAAATTTTTTATTTCTAGTAACCATGGCAAAACCGTTCATCGAAATCAAGAACCAATGAAAAGAATAATGTATCTTGGTGCAGTCTACTTGTGTGCCAAGTTAAATAGAAATCGGACCAAAACTATAGAAGAAGAAGCATTTTGAATGTTTTTCACAGAAATTTCTATTTTTAGTACCCACAGCAACACCTTTCATCGAAATCAAAAACTGATACATAGAATTATGCATCTTAGTGTAGTTTACTTGTGTGCTAGGTTATATGGAAATCAGACCAAAACTGTATGAAGAGTGGCATTTTGAATGTTTTTCATGGATATTTCTATTTTTAGTAACCACGGTACCACCATTCATCAAAATCATAAACCGATATTTAGATTTATTTATCTTGCTGTAGTCTACTTGTGTGCATAAGTTATATTGAAGTCAGACCAAAACTGTAGAAGGAGTAGTATTTTGAATGTTTTTCAGGAAATTTCTATTTTTATTAACGACGGCATCACGGCAACATTGTTCATTGAAATAAAAAAACGATAAATAAAACGATGTATCTTAGTGTAGTCTACTTGTGTGCCAAATTATTTTGAAATCAGGCCAAAACTGTAGGAGGAGTAGCATTTTGAAATTTGAATGTTTTAATGGAAATTTCTTTTTTTAAGTAACCAAGGCAACTCCGTTAATTGAAATAAAAAAACTGATACACAGAATGTTTTTTGTAACCACGGTAACATCGTTGATTGAAATCAAAAACTGATACACAGAATTATGTATCTTAGTGAAGTCTACTTGTGTGCCAAGTTATATTGAAATCAGACCAAAACTGTAGGAGGAGAAGCATTTTGAAAAATTAATTGTTTACAGACGTACAGACACACAGGAGACAGACTGAGGGACGGATGCCAGATGCATAACTATCGCATAAGCTCTTCATGTCTCTGACCAGTAGAGCTAAAAATCAGCAATTGTGACAACAATCTGTCCTACGTTTTTTCCCTGTACCTGTAACTGTGCGGCAGGTAGGTTGATGTCGGCCACCATCTCCGTACACGGATGTTCCACCTGTAAACGTGGATTGAGCTCCAGGAAGTGGAACGTCTCTGTCTCCTCGTTATATAGGTACTCCACCGTACCGGCACTGACGTACCTCACCATCTTAGCCAGGGTCACTGTTGCCTAGAGGAAAAAATAATTATACATTAATAGCTATACAATGATAATTTTTGACCAATGAATTTTTCTCTTGCTCAATGTCAATTGACAGTCAATTCTTGTTATCCCAAACTCAATTGGATTCAGAAAATATGTAAAAGTAAATAAGGATTTGCGAAGCATGGGTGAAACATTTAAAGAATTGAATGTTGGGGACCTCAAAATCACTTCAGGATATTAATATTCGTAATATTGGCATTAAAGGTTTTAAAGTTAGATTGTATTTTGAAACTACAAAATTGAAAGAAAAGTATTTTCTCTACTATGAGGGAAAATATAGTATTTTACTTGGCACACAAAGTCTTGGAATAGTTTATTTAATTAGTATTCATAGTAAGGTAATAAACATATTTTTATCACAATTACCCTCAAGTTCTACCTACCTGTTCCATCTTTTCGAACACCTCGGGTTTGGCTATAGAGGCGGGGGCCTCCTCAATGATCTTCTGATGTCTCCTCTGGATGGAGCAGTCCCTCCCAAACAGGGAGATGGTGTTACTGTAGTTATCAGCCAGGATCTGCACCTCCAGGTGACGCGCGTGGGTCGCCAGCTTCATGATGAAGATGGGGGATCCCGGAACCTCAGCCTGCACCTATATTTAGAACACAGGAATTTTTTTTCTTGAAGATCCTTCATAATCAATAATATATGGAGATTATGAAAATAATCAAGTTCACAAACAATACAAATAAGGAGCAGAGCAAACACAGACCTCTAAAAACAAGCTACTACAAGTTATGAATCCTTTTGATCATAAGTTAATAAAATCAAATTTCCATTTTAAAAATCAAACAATTATATAACATCAAATATCTCTAGGTAACCTTAACTTACATTAATGAAAATGACCAACAAAGTTTCATATTGAAACAACAATTCAAAACAATTTTTTTTTCTATTCTATACCTGTCTAAAGAGGTTGGGGAAGTCATCTGCATTTTCCGCCTTCCTGATGCCCTTCCCTCCACCTCCCTCCGAGGCTTTGATCATCACAGGAAACCCGATCTTATTGGCTGATTTCAGACCCTCTTCCACGTCGGCAACACACCCCTTCCTGTAGAGATCCTGGGGCACATTCACTGGCTTATTGTCACTCTTGGAGTAGTTCAGGGTCAAGCCTGGAATGAAAATGTTTATCAAAATTATTTTAGTGGGGTCCAATTTTCATGGTTTAGGGAAATAAAGACTGGAATGAAAATTCTCAATAAATTCATTCGCAAGGTCCAATTTTCAGGATCATGATGCAGGGAAGAAAGACCGTTTCATGGTGATTTGTTTTTGTGGCTAAGGAGGTGAATAAAATTTTATGAATTACAAAGATAAGAGGGTCTCTGCAATGACATGCCATTACAGCAAAAATTGTTGATTTCACAGTATCATAAATATATAAATATCATGTTTGTTTTTTTTTTCTACTTTGAAAATATTTACAAAATCTAATATTAAATTTTATTGATTGTTTACAATCCCTGGTAAACACAAAGAACCATATATTGGTATAATATACCTGATCCACTTCATGGCATTGCAGGGACCTTAGTAGTCAGGGCTACAATAGAGGAGGCAATCTTGTCACCTAGGGCCCACATAGCTCCCTCTGGTGGACCTGTTCAACAACAAGGAAAGATAACTCTACACCCTATTTGAAACAAGTTAGACGAAGATTATGCCCCATACAGATATAATTTTATGAGTTAATAACAAAATACTGTAGACGTCTTTAATTTCACGTGTCTAAAATTTTACGGTTTGTGAGAATGTTACCTTTCACGGTGGTTTTAATTTCACGGAGAATCGTTTGTAAATATTCAGGTTCCTTGTATAGGTAGAAATAATGTGAACTAATAATCACGATGGTTTTAAGTTCGCGGAAATTTCTTAAATCGTGAACATAGTGAAATTAAATACACCGTAATGTTTTCCACTTCTACAGTAGTTCTGTAAAATCACATATTTTCATGGGGTCAAATTTTCAAGGTTTGAGGAAAAATTAACTTTGCAGTACTTGATTCTGTGATTGGAGGATGTTTACTAGCAATGTATATGACATTTTCATTTTTTGTAGAGGTCATAAATTTGTGGGTCTTTCCATGCCTCAAAAACAACGAAAATTAAACCCCCACGTGAATTAGTGATTTCACAGTATTTCACAGTATTTCTTTACAAAATATATTTTAAAATAATTTCCGCAAAATATATGCTACAGTGTCTAAATTTGATATATGAGAGTATGTCTTAAAATTGATTAACTTTACCAATAAATATGATTCCCTTTTTATGGAGAAGTTCTGGTAACTTGGGATTCTCTGAAGCATGGCCCCAGCCTGCCCAAACAGCCTGAAAAACAGAAGATAATTATAGATTCTTACATTGTATACATGAATACATTAATTTCATAGGCATCTTATCAAATACATGTACTAGAATACCAAATATAACGGAATATCAAATCTAAGTAGTTTTTTCAGGAGATGGGATGTATTTAAAAATATAATGTTCATGTGACATTAAATTTAATATTTAATGATTCTAAATTTTTCAGATATTCAATAAGCTCAGGACTCTCTATGATAATGTGACCTTACCACAAACCAGGTTTGAATATTTACCTGTACTTGAGTCCTCTTGGCTATATCCAGGATAAGTTCTACATTGGCGTAATTATTGTTGTTTGTACCGCCCTGTACTGGAACATACTGATCTGCTAATCGGATGTATTCTGAAAGTTAACAGATAAAAATTTCATTAAAACAAAAAGAAAAGATTAATCTTGGAAAAATGCACAATGAGAAGTAAAGACATAATTATATCAATTATTATTACATTGGAGATAAAAAACTCAGAAAATCAACAAGAGGCCCACGGGCCTTATAGGTCACCTGAGTATCATGTAACAACTTTCCAGCGATTGTATTTGGCTTGTGTTTTAATCCAAAAGCCATGAAATTCACAAATTTTGAAGGAGGCACCATTGCTTATGAAAGGGCAGATTTCAAAGCATTAATTTATTTTTAGTCAAAGTACCTCCCTAGCTGGTACCCCTGACCCAGTGGCCCTGAAATTATCTATTTTGAAAGAGGCCCCTTTCTTCATTATAAGGCCAGCATTTTTTTTTATGTTTAGGTTTAGTTATGAACATGAGAATAAAAAAGTCCCGAAGGAGACGGAAATAAAAATTTTCTTTTGATAAATCAATTATTAACATTTGTTCATTCTTTTTTTATGCTATTCTAATAGGTTCCTTACCACTGGACACATAATGCTTACAATAGGAAAGTAGAACATTTAATTGCTTATTTCATCATCTACCAGTTTGGGCCAGTTATATAAATTTTGTGATGTTGGTCAAAATATATTTTTAAAAATCAATTCTTTAAAAGTCTTTCAATATATCTTCATTTTTTTTAATATGTGTTAGGTGAATGTGTAGACATTGTTCTAAAATGTACTTGATGCCTAAAATTATAATTCCTATCATAAAACAGACAGGAGGTATTGGGGAGTAGGGTGTACATTTGTTTTTCAATTAAGTGTAAAATAATTTTTCTGACTGATATAGATGATACTACATGCCTGTATATATTTGTATATTCTTTTAATAGTTGATTTTTTTTTTTTATTTCTTCAGGTTATTGTTTATTTCTTCCTCAAATGAACTTAACTTCTCCCATAGCTTTATTCATTACATCTGATGCATAAACAACCCTTTTCTGATGAATGATGCTTAGACTGTAAGCTATAACAGAGACCTAAACAATGTCGCTGGCAATATGCAATAGCTACCACGGGCAGTTTAAAACCTGGGGGAGGAAAATAATTTACAGACTGTAGTAAAATATAGACATTTTACTATGAAATAATGTCACCTACCTTAAAGTATAGTATAACATGTATAAGGTGACGACCAATGAACAAACTCTACATGGTGAATACGATACAGGTAACAAAAAACTATGAAAAGGAAACAGGTAACACACGTGGTGACTACAGGTAGGACTGGACTTGACTGACGAGGGGAAGCATGCTGGCCAGCACGGGTGGATGGCTATGAGGTCAGGGTGAAAGGTCATAGGGAATACATTTACATACACAATTTCAATACATTCCTCCCTGTTTTATTTAATAAAGCTAGGGGCAATTACTGTAATTAAATCAGAGGAATGTAAACCAGAAATATATAAGTATTATCTTATATGGCATGGAAAGCGTATTAACTAATTCATGTATCCACATGAACTTGGCCGGAATTACATCTAGCACTGTAGTTCTGCAGGATAGACATGTTTGTATGTGGCAAGATTGAATACATGTAGTATGTTGATATATGAATTAGGATAATCCGCATATAGCAATGGATCAAATGATCATGTTTAGCCATACGCATTCCATGCTGTATGTTATACATTTCCTAACACTTAATTTATAACCAAAAGGATTAAATATAACTTACCTATGACCTAACACTGACCTACATCCATGAGAGTCCTGCAACTGAATGGTGGTGTCATGGCATATGTATGGTTTTAGTTGAGTGAAATTCAGTTGCACCAGTAGCTTAAATTAATTATGTATACAACTGATTTGCTTAATTAAATTGTGCAAGAGTGCAGTAATATATGTTAAAACTTTACAACAATCAGATTAACTAGCTGCTGTGATGTATATTGCTGCTAACTAACTTAATATGAATATATTTTAATGTATGTCATCACCTTAAATATGTCAATGCCTAATACTTTAAAACTTAAGCCTAACCTAAACTAAGTATACTGTATATTTTCTTACTACCTATCCTGATAACTAAATTAACTGAAGAAGGTACGTATCCTTGATTGTCGACTAAAGATAGGAGACGCTATGAAATATAACTATTAAACATATTTACAAAACATATTCCGCATCAGTACCTTCACTTTCTTAAATTAGTTAGCCAGGTATGATATGGAAAATGTATCACATATAACTATATACAAAATATGTAAAGCAATCCGCCCAATACCGTCACTGAGAAAGGTCAGCCAAGTATATATTCGGAAAGCATAAGGTTATATACAATTTTACATTAAGCAATCCAGCCCAATACCGTCACTGAGAATGGTCAGCCGGGTATCTGTTCGGAAAGCATAAGGTTATTTACATAAAGCAATCCTGCCCAATACCGTCACTGAGAATGGTCAGCCGGGTATCTGTTCGGAAAGCATAAGGTTATTTACATAAAGCAATCCTGCCCAATACCGTCACTGAGAATGGTCAGCCGGGTATCTGTTTGGAAAGCATAAGGTTATTTACATAAAGCAATCCTGCCCAATACCGTCACTGAGAATGGTCAGCCGGGTATCTGACGGAAAGCATATATGTTGCATGATTACACCAGCTAGTCCTTGTTTAGTTATTCTTGGACATTCTTAGGCACTGGATGAAGGACATGCAACAGGATAGATCATTGCATAATTATGACATATGCTGCCTGAATATGCTTTACCCAGATCAGATCTCCATGGAACAGTGAGAGGAACTACATCATCTAGGTCTCAGCACCAGTAGTGAATTCCACCACAAGCCAAGTCTTCAATGTTGAAGTTTGACCTGTAAAAGGGACAAGCTACGTCTATCCTAGATGATGTGTCTGTTTTGGTATATGCTCTTTGTCATCCCTGTGTACAGTCATGTTGTATAACTTTTCTGTCCAACGAGCTAGCTGGCGTACGTATAATAAAGCATCTTCCCAGCATCGAAAGAAGTACGAAAAGACTATTACTGCCAAGAAGTTCCTTACTATAGTTGTGCAGTAGCGCCGTTGTTAGGATGGCAGGGTTAAACTAGCATGAGTGATAATTTTCTCTTCACTGTCTTGGATTGTATTCTGAGTTCTTACTGAAATTTCTTTATAATAAATACTAACCTCAAACTATTACTTTATCTTACTTCTTACTAAAATCTCAAGTAATATATATATAAAGTACAGCTAAATGCTTACTTGTGAGATTTTAGTACTATAACCATGAAAGTTAATAGTGTGCATATCTACACCACAAGTGCATTGAGCATTGCTGAGTGATTTATTGACTCTGTGTAATAATGAGCTCAGGCAAAGAACATGTATATATATTTAAAGATATTCTGTACTTATAATGTGAGCAACAGTCAAGCAATACTCAAATACTGACTAGGGTGCAAATAAGTTTCTTAAAATCTATTAAATGTTATGCATTTATACACTATTTCCATCTACAAACTACACTATTTCCCCTCCCTTTTATTTTTAAATGAAGGAAGCAGTAGTAATAACTAGCTGTTCTAATTGATGTAGGAATACTAAGAGCTTATCTAAATGTAGTTTGTGCATATATATAATTAACTATACTGGTATATTGACTATTGTACACAAATTACTGAAAGTACTAGAATTGTGTAGGCAAGTCTATTAATAATCCACTAAACACTAACTTAACAAATACCGGTAGTGCTGCAAGTTATAATAAGCAATAATGTTTGTAATGTTAATAAGCTTAGTATAATTTTCAACTTACTAAGTTTACTAATTATCTAAATTGATTATAAAAATAAGAACTAAAGTACTATTAATAAGTTAGTCAACTACCAACTACTACCAGTTGAGAGTTAACTACCAGTTCTTGATTAAATGTTAAAGTAGAGCCAAATAAGGTTAAATCACAACAAAAACTAATATCATTAGCACTACTTTCTACTTAGAACTAAATACTAAGTACTAGAGTACTAAAATTGATTAGATTACTATACTAATTTGGTATCAATCTTAACTAACACTAATTTTTGGGAGTTGAACTATGTTCAATCTCCCATGGTCATCACGTATTTAACATGTGCAGTAATTTGTGTTGATTATATAGAGCCGAAAGCGAGGCTACTGTGTCGGCCGATTTACTCCGATGATATTCAACAGAAAGAATGCATAAACTTCCGCCACAAATAGTTCATGTCATTTTCTCCTGAATTGATCTAATTTTCATGATTTGAAATGTAAGTAAATGTAATAATGATAAAGTAATCTTATTTTGAATATTAGATTTCGTTCAAAGTAAAACTAAATTATAAGGAACCTCAAAAGTTTTTCGTAATGGAACTCATTTTTTGTGTGGCGTCATACACTGAAAAAGATACGATCAACAACTCTACATACTAACGGCAAGCGGTAAATCTACTCGTCCCGACGCCCGACGGTCCCGGATTTTTAGCAATTTTTTTTTTACCGGTGCACAGAATTTATTCAAACTTTTCATGAACATTTTCTTGGTTTAAATGAATTCACTAATGCATAAAAACTTTAGGAAACATGCGTATTTATTACTAAATCAGCAGTATCACCTGCCAAAAGCGGTAAATCTAGAACTTTGTTATAAATGTTAAAACCAAAAAACGGACACTAATGATTTCGTAAAATCATTTCGTAAAAACAAAATGAAGTTTATTTTCGATAAAAGGAAAACCTCATTTACATACCAGATAACTCGTATGCACACAAACTCTCATATATACCACTGTTTTTATGTTTGATCATGAAATATATATTTTTAACTTGGTATTATTTTTTTTCTTCACAATATTTAAAAAGATTAATTTCTGACGTACTCCATGTATAATGTTCGTGTAATTGAAATGCAGAAGGATAAAACGTACGCTCAACTAGGACCTGGGGTCCCCCGCAAATAGTTCGTCATTTTGCGTAGTAATAAAACATTCTAGGAACTCTCCAGGCATTAAAGGCACAAAAGTAAATTCATCGATATCAATACGGAGACCTCAGGTCACCTTATATATTAATTGAATTTTATATGATAGACAATTTTCTTTGTCTAACTCTAAAATAATCATATTTATAACTTTATAAAGATCAACTTTCTAATATATATATTAGCAGAAACGTGAAAGTAATAAAGGGTGACAAGAGGTAACCTCATATTGTACATCAATAGGGGGACCAAAGATCACCTTACATTGTACATCAGTAGGGGGGCCAGAGGTCACCTTATATTTAACTTCATTAGGGAGACCAGTGGTCACTTTATATTGTACATCATCAGAGGGATCATAGGTCACCTTACATTTTAAATCAATAGGGGTCCAAAGGTAATCTTTTATTGCACATAATAGGGGGACCTGGGGATCATACCTTATATCGTACATCATTTGGGGGACCAGAGGTCACCCTATATTGTACATCAGTAGGGGGACTACAGGTAACCTAATATTGTACTGTACATGAGTAGAGGGACCAGAGGACACCTTATATTGTACATCAGTAGGGAGACCAGAGGGCACCTTATATTGTGCATCAGTAGGGAGTGGGTGCAGAGGACACCTTATACTATACATCTGTAGGGGGACCAGAGGACACCTTATATTGTACATAAGTAGAGAGGGCAGAGGTCACCTGATATTGTACATAAGTAGGTGGACCAGAGGTCCCCCGATATTTTACATTAGTACGGGGACTAGTGGTCACCTAATATTGTACTGTACATCAGTAGAGACCAGAGGTATCTTATATTGTACATCAGTAGTAGGACCAGAAGTCATCGTATATTGTATACTCAGTATCAGCAGAAGGACCAGAGGTAACTTTATATTGTACGGGGACTAGTGGTCACTTAATATTGTACTGTACATCTGTATCGGGGCCAGAGGACACCTTATATTTTTACATTAGTAGTAGGACCAGAGGTCATCTTTAGGTCACCTGAGTAAACTCAGGTGACCTATTGCTATCCGTTTTCGTCTGTCGTCGTTCGTCGTTCGTCGTGCGTCGTGCGTCGTGCGTTAACATTTGAACATTTTCAGCTTCTTCTCTGAAACCGCTGAACCAATTTCAACCAATTTTGGCATATTGCATCTATGGTTGAAGGGGAACAAAAATTGTGAATTTCATGGTCCCTGCCCCCCTGGGGCCTGGGGGGTGGGGCCAAAACCACTAAAATCAGTGCAATCTTTAAAAATCTTCTTCTTTACTCCTGGACATCAATCAGTCAAACTGTTTGTATGATTGTAATCAGTATTGAGTCCTCTACCAAAATTGTGAAATTCATGGCCCTAGGGTCAGGGGTTCTTGTGCTAGGGCAGGGCTAAATAGATATATAGTGAAAATGCATTATTTCCTTGAAGTTTTTTTTTGTGCAGTTTGGCATTAAATAACATATAACCAAGTGCCTAGTTAAGTTGAATATGGCTGCCTCTTCCAAAATTGTGAAATTCATGACCCCTGGGCTCAGGGGTCTGTTTGGAGTATGGGGCTAAGTTGGTTGTAATGTAAAATGCATAATAACTTAAAAGATCTTCTGATGGACTCCAAATCACATGCAACTGATGCAAGACAAGTTTGTGTCAACTTTATGTTTTAAACAATGTATTAATAAATTAATGTGCATGAGAAAAGAGAAATTTTAAATTGTTTTGTATTGCAAAACAAAAAAAATTATTTTTAGATCTATCCGGGAATATAGTTGCCTACTGTACACGCTTCAATATTTACGCATGCGCACTCGACTGTTTATTTGGATTGGAGAGTAAGACGCCATTTTGGACCAGAGTGCACACCAAGAAATAAAGAATCTACGTTTTATTTTAGGTCTAAGGTTTTACATAGCGAACGGTGGGTATGAATGTTGACATTTATGAGTTTAAACGGTTTACGGAATATAACGCGTGGTTTTACGAATACATCGAATTTTTATAATGATCTGAGGTTGTATTGGCGTATTCTCCCGCGTTGGGCCATCCTTAAAAAATTGTTTTTTTGCGGTAACGCGCCTCATCATTTTAGGTGTGAGTAGGTAGGTAGGCCTTTTTTTTTTTTTTTTTTTTTGAGAATAAATGTCAGAAATTAATTTCGATTATATAGAGGTATTAACTATGTCTTAGATTTCACCTTACTATAAAGCAAAAGAAAATTAAAGCATTCTAAATGAATTCAATCTTTTTATTGCTGAAATATCACAACACATCAGGCCTCATCAGTTCTTTTTTGGCAACCGACAAATGTGATTTTTCCCACGAGATTTACATTCCCTGCACATGGGGAGTACAACCCTGTACTTTCTCAAAAGGTCCTGATCATCTATGATGTCGACGGAGGACGCACAAAAGCAGCAGACATCTTTACGGGCAACAGCATTGGCAGAGTAATACGCTATTTCCACAGGTGTAGTACAGGCCAACTGAAGTCTGACAAAGACTGTGCCTTGCAGACTATCTCCTGAAAATATAAAGAATATGAGGCCTGATTATCAAAATGCATTGCTTTTAACAGAGTTTTATCTTACATTATAAATTGTAAACATTTTCAATTTTTAAATACACATGTAGTATTTAAATTAATGAATCATACCATCAGGTGTAATTAAGGAGCCACATGTATACATATATCGCTCCAACACTCTAGTGAGACTTCTTTCTTCCCTCGCAGTTAAGTGCTTGCGACTGTAAATACACCTGGGCTTCTTACACTCCAAACATGTCACTGTTTTACGAACATTCTGTGCAACCAATATCCGGTTTGGACAACCCTAACAGAAATGCATAAATACACAAATAAATTCTCTACCAACTTTTCAACATTCAAGCCAGGAAGTCATTTTAAGTTTTCATAAAATCATTACACGTAGATCAAATAATTTGTCTGATACCTGGTGCTCTTCTGCTACTCTAGCAAGTGGCATATTTATCCTAGAGGGCATGTCCTCTTCTGTGGTATTGGTCCCTATGACATCATGGAATTTCTTGTAATGCTGGGGATCATCAGGATTGATCACTGGATCTGGAAGAAATGGCGGCAGTTCTCCACTGGAATTACGCACAGGCCTACAGCAACCTAGGTCCTCACATTTCCTCACCTATTATTACACAAAAAGTTCAATCGCATTTTAAATTCATTTATTTAATTACTGTGTCAAATGACAAATTCTATAGGATTCTCAGTAACTGTTTTCTTTTTAAACTAAACTTCTTGATTTTAATTTTACATTTTAATATATCTATTAAGAATACCAGTTTTCAGACATATGTATAAACATTTATAGTTCTTTTTATTTTAACTTTTACATGTCATAAAATTTGATAGTTTAGATCAAATTTGAATAGTGAATAAT